GCCGTGATACGATTACATCGATACATCGTTCGATACGATATGATTTATGTATCTTCACGAAATTTGGCAAGCTTTCAGTAAACATTATAAGTCTTTTGTTCAGAATAAATCAAAATTTCTAATAAATTATTTTTGCTAAAAATTAATGTTTTAATACATGAAGTCAAACTACTCACTTGCTTTGAGCTTAAAGCGATTTTCATGTTAAAATTAAAAATACTTTTCTACATCTAAAAATTAACAAATTTCCTTTGTGTAATCTCTAATACATCCGAAATATATTTCTAACTTTTTTCTCGATAGATCTTCAAATTTTATTTGCTGTATTCACTACCCTAATTTTATGTGAAGTCGGTCAATTTGAACAGCCTCGTAACCACCATAAAAATACAAAATAAATCAAAATCTAATTACGATCAATAACTTAAAGCTCTTAACATTATGCATCTGTTTCTAATTAAATTATATTGTTTTATTGCCCTTTGAACCGTGTTTTTTAAAATTCCCGCCATAAGATATTTCAAGTTACACCAATCAAGTTACATAACGCTTGGGCTTCTCTCGAGCTGTCAGTCCTAGCGAGCGGTACCTCGTAAAAAATTATATTGTTATGATCAATATTTTTCTTTATCCTACATAATTTAACCTTATATAGCTTAAATGGTTCTAATTTTTATATTTTAGCTACTTTTGTAATAATAAGTAAAGAACAGACAAGAAATTAATCACTTACCCGTGTAACTTGTTTTTTGCTGTCGACTGTCATTCTATGTTAGCCCTAATATTTTTATACCAATGCTACTAGTCCACAAAATAGTTTTTCTTTAATTAAATAATGAACAGAAGAACACAGAATAATAACACGTCAAAAGTTGAAACTTTTCTGTAACTGTCACAATTTTTCTGGTTCTTTACGTATTTACTAGGTACTTGAAAATATTTCTTCTTTCTTGTGTTAACGGGTTGTAAGAAACTCTGAATTCAGAAATAATCTACGAAGTACAAATGATTCAATAAAGGAAGATGAGTATTGAGTTCTACATGTTGTCCTCATTTCTATTATGAAATACATTACATGCAAAGTAACATAACAAATTAACAATACTAAAATAGATAGACTGATATTTATAATTCTTTATTTTACTTCTCTTGCCAGCTGCCATTTAATTGTTGAAATCTGAGAATTTGAAAAGCACTGTATAGTACTTAAATATGACAATGTTAGTAATATAGATAATAAATTACAGACAAGACTGTCTAACTTTATAACAAACTGTTAGTAAAACTTTTGCATCTAGATACGTATCGTATCATATCAGTCCTAGTTGCACGTGTGTAATGAATTTAGTATGTAATTAGAATTACTTACCTGAAGCAATAAGGTATCAGAAACTATCATAAAACTTTAGATGACACAATTACCACATTTTAACGATCAGTTCATCTTTGCCTTTGTGGATTTGATACAGAAGCATTGTAGGAATTTCAAGAATGTTAACCAAGCCACTTGATATTGCAGAAACTAGTATGTATTTCCTACATGTATTACATAGATACTAGTGGATAAGGCGAGGCAGAAATACACTACATGTTACTAGTTTCTACAGACATACGCTACTCATTAGAATATTTAGCAGACCTATACCGTATATTACTAGATTACCTAGTCTAGTAATTAAAATGGTTCTCCTCCATACAGGAGTTTACGTATAGACATGAGGTTCTCAATATTAAATAGTTGTAGTGAATCTTCTTTCCCTCAATACAGTGATCACAGGCAATAAATCTGATGGATTTGGTGTGAGTATTATGTGTGTTACTATGCTATTTTCGTGTACCGATTTCCCTACAAACGTATAATAACAGCAAAATAAGACAGCAATTTACTGAGTTATCTGAATCTGAAAACTTTATTCGAGTCTTTAAGTTGCGTGAGAAATGAACAGACTGGACACCTTTTAAGGACAGTGAAAACAATATTCTTACAGACACAATAACAAAAACAAAGAGTGAACGATTAGTTCTACAGAACTAGTGACTAGATCTTTAGCTTTTCTTCTTGCGAGCAGAATTACTGCAGAACCATCCATGATGAAAGCCAGTTACAAATCCTTGAGAAAAAATGGTTTTGGCTTAGCATGAAACCTTGATTTCATCGCCTTGGGATGGTGTCGCCACGTGACAAATCATTCCTTCATGACATTTTCACTAAAACATACTGATGTCGTCTCCTCGGCCAACGAAAGGACGCCTCTTATAGAGACAAGGGTACAAGAGCAAGCTCGCACCATAGAACACCAACGGTTTTCTGGATCAAGGTGTTCATGCCAAACTGCTTAGAACTAAATTATATGAACATTTCTGAATCAGTAAAGATGAATAAAAGTACTTGATATACAAAATAAATGATATGCTTGCATATCACATTACAACTAGAAAAGACAAAGGTAAAACAGAACAAAAAACAAAATCAAACACAAACTGTTCTTTCTTTGTAGCTTTCGAGACGACAAATATTAATAACAAATTGTCCTCTCTAATAAAAAACACTTATAATGTATTTACTAATAAACTTTTCATTCAGTAACTATTTATCCAATTACTATTTATTCAATATCTTAACGAATTATTATTTTACTTACAATTAGCCTATTATTAGCTTTTACATTTGTATCTGATTTGCTTTCCTCTTTGCCAAAATCTTTTAACTTTTAAAAAATCAAATATTGTATACAATATCCAAACAAAACTTCTCATTGGACAAAAATGGGCAGTACTAGCCCTCATTCTTCTCAATTCAATATAGAACTCTGAGCAAGCTCCTCAGATAAGTTATGTGATTTTCAAATATTTCCACTCGAATTATACGAACTTATGAGTAAAAGCAAAAATATATATAATAATATGTCATCAACCCCATATCAATCATGTCCGGTGCTGACGAGGCTTACTTCCAATAGTGGGGCTAATCAGGCTGACTGGGACATTAAATACAATAGTAGTGGTGTAGTCGTTATATATATCATCACTTGCATGAACAACAACTGTTACGGTATGAACTAGAACAAATAAATGAACTGTAATTATTATCTATTTTAGTTAAGTATTTTAGAAATAAGAAGTTCAGTAAGGATTAATAACCTAATATCATTTATCTATTTATGCTTTTTAAACACCATTTATTTATCGTTATAATTTTACTTGAATATATTTTACTATTGTGGTATATTTAGTTAAAACTAAGTTAATTTTCTAGAAATGGTAAAGGTTCGCTTAATAACTGGAGATTCGGTAACGATACGATTATGAAAAATAAGTGAGGTCGTAACCTTGAGATATCACCAGAACGACCATTGAAATACATTGTTGTCGATACTCTTGCACAACACGTAGTTTTGCAACAACATCCTTTTCTCTTGAGCAGAACAGATAGTATCCATTCGAGAATAACAAAGAACCGAAGGTAGCTAGAATAAAATCAATTTAAAGGCTTTCTCAACTATGTATTATGTGAAACTAGTATATATACAAAAAATTATAAATTTATATTAAGTAGTTTAATAATACCACAATATCATTCAGAAGAACTATTCAATCACGAAGCTAATCTTCTCGTTCCAGGAGCGGGTTAATTAACCATACCGTCAACGGAATAAAACTGTGTTAATAATTCTAAGAATTTATGAGTGAAAGGAATAATATGCCAACCACACTCTATCTTTCGTATTTAATGTCGACCAAGCCTTTCATCCAATACCAGTTTTTTTGTCTTTATTTGTCCTCTCTCTCATAGAGGAGGTATACACATAATAATACAATAATAGTAAAACACATCCTCTGCACCATACAATACTGAAAATGCAAAAGAAACAAAACTAGGAAACAGTACGCAAATGCAAAAGAATCAATACAACAACGTAAAGGTATAAATGTATAGCAACTTGTGGCAATACAAAACATTACATATATGAAACATAGGATAATGACAATACAGAAACTGTTCAAAGAAAAACTTAATACACAAACTCTCTATAAGAAAAAAACAGAAGGAAACTCACCCATACAGTAACTACTTAAACAACTATAGAATTGATATCACTGGGTTCCACGCATAGTCATCCTGGTACCGCAAATAAAAATAATTTAATACATTAGACAATAAGTACCTCTTATAAACAATGTATTAATTTAGCCATAAAACTATTTTGAACATGCAAAACTGTACCCCAAAACGATTTAACACACTGAGCCTTAAAATTTAGATGTTTAGCCATAGAAATAAAAAAATGCAATTAGGAACATTTACGTTCCAACCAATGCATCTTGTTGCTTTTCTAGGTCCGGAATTAAAGCACATTATTCAGAAAAAAAAGACTACAACTCCTGAAAAAGCAGTCAATGAAAGAATAAATCTACAATTGTTTCTAAACAACCATTACAAATTCTACATAACCCAGTACGGTGCTTATGCATGTGTATGAGTTTAATATCGGGGGTTACAACGTGGAAGATAATCCAACTCACAGCAGTGGAACACCATCAATAGTAGATCATCTAATAGAATGCCACTCTGTGATCGGTATCACATGTTGCCAGAAAATACGAGTTGTTACGCCATTATACACCCCCCTGACGCAAAAAGAAGAAGAGAAATGACCTTAGGAAAAATTCCAAAATAATCGTATTTCTCCAGAATCTGAATAAAAATAACATAAGCCAAAATGAAAGGTGTCACTTAAAAATGGTAATCCAGTAGAAATCATCCCTTCCACGCATCCGGTAAAGCCGAAACAATAATTTGTATCTATGTACAAATAAATTAAAAGGCCTTCTGTGGATAAGCAACGTGTTTTGGGGCTTATGAAGGTAAAAATTGGGTTTCGATACCCGCAGGGGCAAAGCACAAATATCTCATTGTGTAGCTTTGTGATTAAAAACAAACAGTAAAAATATTTGATATTTTAGGATCTCATCACGAATTATTTGTGTTTTTCCTACAGATGGAATTTTTCACACGGTAGAAATACTCGATACTTCAGGATCTCACCACTTCCCAGCCATGAGAGAACTCAGCATTCGGTCGGGTCGGGGGTTTGTACTGGTCTTTAGTGTTGACGATCTCCAGTCTTTCCATGAAACATTACATATATGGGAGCTAATCTCGAAACTCCGAGGTAAGGCATTACATATATTAAACTTTGAAAAAGTCTGAGAAGCAAAAGGAGAAGGTTTTCTGTATCCTTTGTAAGAGGCAATGATATTAAATGAAGCCTTCAGTACCACAGATATAGCGTAATAATTATTACAACCATGGTGCTGTTCTTAGCATACAAGGTGTGTCTATTCAATACCATAGGTCAGTGACAGATTAATAGGAGGGCAGATGTGGCTGCTACCAAGGGGATCCGAGGCTATTTTAGGCTAGGATACTGTATATAAAGGGTGTTGTTGAAAACGGAAGAATTAATAGAAAGGAAATGAGTTTTAAAAAGTTTATTTTAAGTTGGGAGTGCTATTTGAAAGTTTATTATCATTATGGATAAATGAGATTTCCCCACCAAACTCTATGTTGTTAAAATAGGATTAACAATTAAAAATTTACATATAAATAGAAAAGTAGAAATCAATAATAAATATACAAACATCTGTGGTCCCAGGTGTACATTTAACCACGAAGTAACGCTTATGTTTTATAATAAAAATAATATGCATGAGAGGACCCCATATTATTCACTGTCCCGAGGCCCCGAGGTGTCTTAATCTACTACTGCCATAAGTATAGTGCAATAATTATTAGGACCATGATGTTGGTTGTAGCGATAAAGGTGCCTCTAAAGTCATTCGTACATTAAAATATACCTTTGCCTTAGGCAGATTATTAGATGTTGTAATATCACGCCCGTTTCAGAGTTGAATTAATTCGTAATAATTTGAAAAGTACAACATATTTTGTTTCTGTAATTTGCCCCTAGTGGTTCAGTGGCAAGTCTGAAGGCTAGAAACCGAGTTTTGATACCCATGGTTGGCGAAGAAAACATAGCCCATTGTGTAGTTTTGCACTTAGCAACAAAACAAATAATCACACAACACTTTTATAATTATCTATTAGTAAACACACGTTCATTAATGCTTTAATTAATATTAAACAGATATAGGTTTTAAGCTAAGAAAGGTCTTCAAAACTATAAGGGATTGATTCTTACAAGCTTTTAAAATTGTTTAAGTAAGGACAGACTAATTACATCGAGGAAATGATGGAAGCTGTTATAACAGGATTAGATGCTTAATTCTAAGTGAATTAATGCTGGAAATAGCTGACTGTGATATTGTGCGAGTTCTTACGATGTGAAAGTTGTGAGCGACAATACCTCGAAAATCCGATTAAAATTAGTAACAGTCTATTGTACAAAACTGTGTTACTCTAACGTCCGTGAACAGCAAAGACCAGAGATACTCAAAGATGAGAAAGCTGCTTTAACATTATATGATGGGCTATTTCCCGTCTTGTAACTTAAAATAAATAAATATTTTCGGATTCTAGGAACTTCTTATCAAAACATGATAAGCGATTTAACAGTCACAGATACACGTTGTTAGACCTTGGTGGGTAGCAGTCAATCCAGGAAGATCAGTTGTTAGGTGTCTAGTTGTAAAATGTAATTTTATGAACATGTTTCGATGAGTAATCTGACTTTTGAACAAAACGTGAGTTTCAGGTGAGTGAATTTACAGATAATTTACAATTAAAGTTTTGATGGCTTTTTGATGAATGATAGCAAGAAATATATCGTTGTTTATTTGAAGATTTTATGCACAGTTTTGTTTTTAATTTCGCGCAAAGCTACACGAAGGTTATCTGCGCCAACTCTTGGGCTACTCTTTTACCAACGAATAGTGTGATTGATCGTCACATTATAACGCCCCACGGCTTAAACGGTTAACATGTTTGGTGTAACGGAGATTCGAACCCGCGACCCTCAGATTGCGAGTTGAGCGCCCTAACCACTTGGCTGCCGGGTAACTACGTTGGAAAAATTACAGTTTAATTGTACGTCCCATTAAATTTAACAGGATTCGCGGTGTCTCCTGTAATTATCGTTTTGTGGTCTGAGTATAAACTTTAAAACTTTTAGCCGTTAAATGGAGATAAGATGTGTTATCTAATTTGTGATATAAAATAGTTTCTTCTTTTTAAAGTAAAAAACAAGAAAATCTTATATTAACTCTATATCTTCCAAGCAATGTACGAGAGCTATTAAATTAACAATACTTTAACTATAAATTATCATTAATATTTCCAAATGAGATGAAAATGTTTGCTCAAAGTTAGTAGCTGTTAATATAAAGTAAAATACGTTGACCATATACCTAGGAGTAAATGTTTCAACGATTTTTTTGGATTATTAGCAAAAAAAAAAACAAACGAAGGAAGAAAACAATAGTAGAAATACTGCACAAACTTCATAACAGCTGAAAATATTTTTATTATACGATTAGTTCATTGAGCACAAGTCGCCTTTGTCAAGGATCAGTCTTTAAGTTTCTATGAATTCAAATGCTCTAAGTATTTTTGAGTATTTCAATATTGAGTGTAGTGTATGTGCATGCGACCATGTGCGTACTAACTGGTTAAACTGTTTTGAATTCGAGGTTAAATGCATCTTTGAAAATGGCACCAGATAGTCAGTGAATCGTCTAGTCTAAGCATACTTAGTCTCCAAGCTACTAACTTTGTGTTATTTGTACATAGCACACTAGAGTCTCTCAGTTTTTACCGTTTGTCCGTTGGTTCTGATCCTAAAATATCCTTTTTTTTTAAATACACTTTATTTGTTTTGTTTTTTTACAAATATAACTATCAGTGACTTATCGAAATACCTCACTATAGGTGAAAGATGCAAGTGACAAACATTTTTTTACTGCTACGAAAAACTAATAAGTATCTTGTACTTATCCCTGATTCACATGCAGGTCCTGAAGTACCTGTTATCCTTGTCGGAAACAAGTCCGACCTGACTACTGAGCGGAAGGTGCAGAAAGAGAAAGCTCAACAGATAGCAAAGGACGTAATGAACAACTGTCAGTACATCGAAACTAGCGCTAAATACAATCTGAACGTCGGAGACCTTTTTCAAGAACTATTATTGCAGGCCAAAGCAAGAGAACAGCCTCCGAACCCTGACCCATCAGAGCGTCGATATTCAAGACGGCTGAGTCGGCGTCTTAGTTCGCTGGGGTCTCTGCCTGGGCTCAGCATAAGAAGAAAGTCCAATGTCTCGAGAATCACTACGGATGACGACCCCAAGCGGCAAGCACAGAAATGTGTATTGCTGTAAAATGTAGAATAAGGCTGACAAATTTAAGTATAAGAAAATGTAATCAAAATAACTAGTACTTAAAAATTAGATGACTGTTTCATAAAACAAATTGAGATAAATGAAATATATTTAAAGTTACGCTTACATATGTGATGAATAATAGTACCTAGTGCGTTTGATAAAAATTAAATGTCTTGGAATAAATGTTATTCAAACTTACTTTTTACATTTTCTCTGATTAATAAATAAGTTAATGCACCAAACACATGTACTCTAAAAAAACCTATAACACTATTATTTCTAATACTACGATTTAAATTATCATTCCCAAATTTAGAATATTCTAGCTCATCTTCTACGTTGTAGAAAAATTATGCTATTCAGTTTCTCAGTAATACAGTATTAATAAGAACGTATTAGTTAGGTTTATCAAGTAGAAACGTGTTAGTGTTCAATTAATCAAACCTTGGATAAACAATTAACTTGTCGTTTTTCTGTAGTTATGTAAAAGACGAGTATTTTTTAAAACTTTTCAACTTGCGTATATGTGAAACATGGGTGAAGCTGATGAACAGAGAATGTTGTCGATAATTCTGACACCATGCTTGACATCAACTCGCACGGATGATTAACCGGGCGAGAAATAGAGAATGAAATTAAGAATTAATCATGTAGTATACATTTTGAGTTAACAGTTGAATTCCTACAGGATTTCGATTTAAATTTCAATTATGTGAACACAGAGAAGCTGACTATTCTATGATGATCTATAAACATAAGCAAAAGTTGGTAAGGCTATGGTTTGAACATAGGTTAGTGTGCCGGACTGTGAATTCCAATGTCCATGGTTCACGTCCCTTTTGTTTAGAAATATGATAAAAATGTGTTATTCGATTAGAGTAGACCAAGATTTGTAGATAGGTACTGTTGACTAGCTGTCACAGATAGCTTTTATGTAACTTTATGTGAACATACGAAACAAACAAATAGTTGTCGAACAGGAATTACCTATAGTTTGTTTCAGTTGTCAAGGGAAATATGAAGTCGCTCTGAATAATATCAAATCTACTATATAAAGCAAAGTGTGTGTCCAGGAAAAAAATTCACGGACGTATAACCATCATTTGATATTTGTTCCTCATACGTTTCCACATTTAATGATCAATCAGCACCAAACTCGACACAGTGATACAGGATGACATGAGGAAGGTCACGAGGGGGGTTGGATCCCTATCTAATTTCATATTAATAGAATTCTTATATGAAAACAGTATTTCCTTATTTTCAGTATTGGTACCTTTATGTATTTTTATTGCACTTTTGATGTTTATTATGTTAAGAAAAAAATAGAAGCACAATTTCATATCCTTTGTTACAAACGAATTTTTATTTCACCCGTCCAACGGATGGGTACTCCAACTATCTATCTATAAAATAAAGAGAAACAATAGTGTTTTCAAACGTGAAATTAATAGAAGGAAATATATTATTTTATTATGTCATAATTATTTAACTTCCATTATTGAAAAACTTTCCGAAACGGTCTTTATTTTCCTAGTGCTTGAATTAGTAGACAAAACGTTATCACAATCCTCATAATCAGGTATTGACATAACTTAAATTATTGAAAAACAAACGTCTACATTGATATTGACACACCTTAACTTTAGAAAACGAACGTTAGGGTTTTTCTCCTAGTCAGGCATTGGCACAACTTGAATTAATAAACGAACGATATCATTGTACTCACAGACAGGATATTGATACAACTTGGGTTAGTAGCATAGCATTAATCTCGTAGTCAGATTATTGACACAACTTCAGTAAGTTGACGAATGCTAGTATTGTTCTAATAGTCAGGTTATTGACACAACTTGGGATTGGTAGACGAACATTAGCATTGTCGAAAACTAAAAAAAATATTTAAAAAACAACGATTATTTTATGCACAATTCAATAAAATGAGATTGTTTTCAGTCTCCAAATTACTAAAATAATAACTTACTGTACAAGGTTAAAAAGTGGTAAAATCCCCGATGTGACTGGAAAACAATCTCATACACTCTACATGTTGCGACGTATATCTTGCGTCATCCTCAGGAGTGTAATGTTTTGCAAAAAATAACACTTATTTATGCAATTATACATTCTCAGTTTTCAAGATTGAACATTACACACGTGCTAAATAATTTTGAAAAGAATTAGCACTGTCCTCAGAATGATATTGAATACATAGACTAACACTGCTCGCATAGTCAGGTTATTGACACAACTTGAATTGATAGACTAGCATAGTTGTCATATTCAGGTTATTGACACAACTTGAATTAGCAGACCAGCATTGTTCTCGTAGTCAGGCTGTTGACACAACGTCAGTTAATAGGCTACTGTTAGCATGGCTCTGGATCAGGCTATTAGCACATCTTGCGTTAGTAGACTTAGCATTGTTATGAGTTAGTGTATTCACACAAATTGAGTTAATAGACGAACGCTAGTATTTTTGTCATAGTCAGGTTGTTGACACAACGTCAGTTAATAGACTACTGCTAGCATGGCTCTGAGTCAGATTAGTAGCACATATTGCGTTAGTAGACTTAGCATTGTTATCAGAGTCAGTTTATTCACACAAATTGAGTTAATAGACGAACGCTAGTATTTTTGTCATAGTCAGGTTGTTGACACAACGTCAGTTAATAGACTACTGTTAGCATGGCTCTGAGTCAGATTAGTAGCACATATTGCGTTAGTAGACTTAGCATTGTTATCAGAGTCAGTTTATTCACACAAATTGAGTTAGTAGACGAACGCTGGTATTTTTCTTATAGTCAGATTATCATTAAACTTCACTTAGTTGAATAATATTTGCATAGTTAGTTATGGTGTAATCACCTTTTCTTAGGTGGCGAAGCATGATTATAATTAATCACACTTGTCATAAAACATTAGGCCTGGCATGTCCTGGCGGTTAGAGCTCTCGACTCGGAATCTGTGGGTCCCGGGTTCGAATCCCCGTCATAGAATATGCTCGCCCCTTTCAGATGTGGGGGCGTTATAACGTGACAGTCAATTCCACTCTCCGTTCGACAAAGAGTAACCCAAGAGTTGGCGGTGGGCGTTGTTGGCTAGCTGCCTTCTCTCTAGTCTATCATTGCTAAATTAAGGATGGCTAGCGCAGATAGTCCTTGAGTAGTTTTGCACGAAATTACAAATAAACAAAATCATAAAACATTAGTATTAGGTCTATTATATTTTTTAAACACTACATTCTTTATTTAGTTCCTTAGAGATTCTCAAAAAGAGGAAGAGAGTATAATAGTATCTCAACTACACTATGACCGCCATATCTACTGGCGATGACGTATTTACAGAGCTCATCAGACTGGCTGGGATACAACAAATACATTAGTGTTCGGAACAGTATTTATTTGGTTTGTTTGAAGTTAAGCACAAAACTACACAATGGGCTATCTGTGCTCTGCCCACCATGGGTATCGAAACCGGTTTCTAGCGCTGGAAGTCCGCAGATATACCGATATTGAGCGAAAAAAAAACAACCCAAAAACTCTTGAAAAACTATCTTCTTGAAAAAGCCTATAGGACTGAACAAATAATGTAGTATTTAAAAAAATCTAAATATCCAATACTAATGTCTTATGGCAAGTATAAAGACCTACAATATTTGCATTTATTACATAGTTATGTTACTGATATAATTTGGAATACTAGACAGGAGAGGCTATTGTTGTTATAGTCAGGTTAATCACCCAACTATGACTTTAAAGTTGTTATTACTCAAGCACGGTTTATGGGAAAAGTGAAAACTGGACTATTTTTTTTCTCTTCTGCTGTCTTATATCAAACTCATTATTTCCATTAAATGTTAAATAAAATGTAACACAATGTCAGCTTTAATTTTACTTAAAAAAACCGTCAACTTCACATAGAAAAATAGTGAGACGATTGTATTGGACTTGTCGGATTGTGGTTTATAAACAGATAGAAACAGAGACAGACTCAAAAACTGGTCAGCTAGGCATTGCCCGGAGAGCATGGCTCATTGGGCTTAAAAAATGACTGCTCAAGCAGAATTTTTGACAGCTAGTTAGCTAACAAGATAATTTTTATTTAATTTTCGTTCTCTTCTGAACTGAATCAGATACGGCATCGTAAAATAGAGAATTTTAGGGAAGCCAAACAAATTCTAAATTTTGTATTAATTCATGTAACTATTCAAGTGCTCAACTTGAAATCTAACTACAATGAATGGTTGTTGTTGTTTTTTATTAAGCACAAAGCTACACAAAGGGCCGTTTGTGCTCTGTCCACCACGGGTATCGAAATCCGGTTTCTATCAGTATAAGTCCGCAGACATACCGCTGTGCCACTGGGGGGGGGGGGCAAAATGAATGGTGAGAAGGTGCATGTTTTCTTTTTCAAAAACGATTATCTTTCTAATTGGTTATCTTAAATAACAACACTTAATGTGCCAAAACTTTTGTAAGTATAAATATAGGAACATTGTGGTGAGTAAAAAACAACTGAAACACTATACATAAAAAAATATTTTTTTTTGTATATTTTTAACTGATCAGTTTATATTTTGCCAAACATGTATCAAAAATATTTTGATCAAAAAGCGAATAAAGTAAAAAGTAAGAATGTATTTATATAATCTAATCATATTGTATTCAAACAGAATTGTCTTATAACGCACGCGAGAAAACTTTGACGAAACCATGATTATCAGCTTATGACGCACATATGAAAAATAGTTCTAGTAAAAATAGAAATTACTTAAAATATAGTTTGGTGATTATATGTGACACTCCGTAACTTCAGTTTCGGTAAATATTTGGTTAATTGGAAAAAATTAGCATTCTTGTTCTCAAATTAGAATCTAAAATAAATGTTTAAGAGTCTAACCAGTGTTATAGTCCGCCGCTGGATAGCAACATATATAAACTTGTTTTCTAGGCCCAAGAACCCACATGAACTCATACAGAAAACAAACAAACATTATAATACATTCGAAAATGAACGATCAAACTTCCACAAACAATAAAGTTATAATTAATCAAGTAAATACTTTAGTTTGTTTCATCAGTAATTTTTACGGTAATATTCATGACACAATCGCAGGAAAAAGTAAAAACCTGTTACGAAGCATTTCTACGAAGTTTGTGTTCTCTCTTGGATTACCGGTCTTTTCTCTTCAAATAGTGTTACAGTCGTCATATAATGTCTAGACACGAATTCTTACATCTTGTGCCACATTTCGACCACTTTCCTATGCGTAAGTTTCAAAAGACAGTACAAAATATTCATATATACAACGAAGAACGCCCTCAGAAATAAAATTAGAGGGGGATCAAGTAAGTAAAGTTTGAAAAAGATATGAAATCGAAATACAAATATCTTATGATTTTCCAATAACATAGAAGAATAATTTTACATATCTAGTATTTTTTTTCTTTATGAAAATCCAGAGGGGTCAAGTGACCCCCTTGCCCCTTCCTGTGGGCGCCCATGTATACAATTCTATAAATACAAGGTTATTATAATTGTGTAAAGTTCAACAATAACATCTTTGTGAGACAGTTACGTAAATAGCGTATAGTAAGAAAAGATAATCATATTTTCAAGATTCATTGTGTAATAATTCAGTCGCAAAACTCTTTGTCAAAAATATTTTGTCTTGCTTGCATAGAATTCGCCATAAAATTACACATTCGAACACACACATATGCGTGTGCATGTGCCAACTACACTTTGGTGTGTTCAACCTAAATTGCACCTTGTACGGCATATGGATTAAACCCTTACTTACAACTGCTGATAAGAGTGACGGCAACCAATAAGGGCATGCTCACAATGGGGATTTTTTTCATACTCAGTACGGTTCGTTTGGAGAACAATGTGAGCAACAAAGTTCGATTGGCGGACGAACAGAAACGACCTGAGTCCACCAGAAGAAGTGGTCTTGGTCCGTTTGGTAAAATAACTGAGTTTGTTTCGCTTGAAAAACTTAAATGAGAACATTGAAAGGTCTCGGTGAGTGCTGACAAAATACGGACGTGAACCGTGAAAACGAAATCCAGTTCATTTCTCAACGAACTCGGCACGTTTGTACACAAGGCAAGTGTGAACAATTAACATATTCAGCAAAGCAAACGATTTAAAGCAAGGCAGTTTGAAAGAAACCCAGTGAGAATACTGCCTAAGAAGCATTATATGGGTACTTTCAATCTAATAGCAGGATTGACTGTCACAACTATGATGCTTCCGCAACTGAAAATGTGGAGTTTGTTTCGCGTTATAGTGTGACGCAGCACGACATTCTAATCACTTGCCAAGCTTGGCCATTAAACAAACGAAATTTCTTTTTAAGTATCAACAAGCTCGACTTTTCTTTAAGAAACATTAATTCGTTATATAAAGTAATTATGTCAATACTAGCCGCGACTCGCAAAACATTTGTGATATTTTTCATGCCCTTCGCTTGAATTTTCTATATTCTATTTGGCCCGTCATGGCCAGGTGGTTAGGGTGCTCGACTCGCAATTTAAAGGTTGCAGGTTCGAATCCCTGTCCCATCAAACATGTTCACCCTTTCAGCCGCGAGGTCGTTATTTTTTGTGACGGTCAATCCCACTGTTCGTTGGTAAAATAATAGTTCAAGAATTGGCGGTGGGTGGTGATGACTAGCTGCCTTCCCCTTAGTCCCTATCAGGGATAGCTAGAGCAGGTAGCCCTCGTGTAGCTTTGTACAAAATTCAAAACAAACCTATTCTATCATTTTCACGTATGTTTGTTTGTTTGTTTTAAATGATACACAAAGCTACACAATGGGCTATCTGTGCTCTGCCCACCACGGGTATCGAAACCCGGTTTCTAGAGTTGTAAGTCCGCTGACATACCGCTGTGCCACTGGGGGGCTTTCACGTATGTCATTTTAGTTAGCTTTCTTGCGGGCATTATGTGTTAGATCGATAAATCCTGGTCTATTTGAAAAAAAAAAATATTTACGCGATCAGACAAGCAAACTTTATTCAATAAAACTACACGTAAAATAATAATAAAGAAAAGTTATGGTATTTATAATAGTGTATATAGTATGAGACGGTTATGAGCGTTCAGTGGATGATACGCTTTTACAAGTTAAAACAAAGAAGCTCACAAACACGTAAAGAAAATATTAACTAAAAGGTGTTTATAGCAGTCTATGAAAGGAACCAAAGCTAAATTATTGCACATAAAGTGAATGTAAAGTTATAATGAAGGCAAACTTAGCTTTTTATGCAGAAACGTCTGAATGGGTATTCCCAAAGTGATAAGCATATTGTTTTAAACAAACTGCGCTTGCATATTTTAGACCTAAATGAGTCGACATAGCCCATAGAAATTGTATTTTGTGTAATATTCATTTTTTTAAAGGAAATTACTCGCAGGTTAAGTGTCATTTGTGTGAAATACCTTGTTATCTATACAAATAATACGCTTGCGTTTGTCTGTCCGGAACTCTTCTCGCAAATTTCTCGATCAAACACTACAAATCTTATATTGTTTGAAAGTCCTTTGTCCGAGAAGTAAGAATTGCTTAATCCCTTTTCAATTCATAATAGACTTACCTATTTTTTGCTTAGTTAAACTTTTCAATGTAACGAGTATGCTAGATGATGACACAATGCTGTTGTTATCACGTGAGGACTGGCTTCAATTTCAACTTTAGTTTTTTATTTGCCCTTGCCATAAATACAAAACGCATATACTGTTTAGTTTACTCGCTTATGAAAATATCTTGTGGCTAAAAATAAAACATCATTTAATTTTTATCATGTAACAGGAAGTAGAAAAACAAAGAGAGTGTGAGCTCAAAAACATCTTTGTATTAATTTGTATGAAGTGGTAGTTCTTAAATTTATGTATTTGTAGTATTTTGCTGAGTATTTATCTATCTGCCAATGTTCTTTATTTATGGCAAGGCTATCTGCCACTGTTCTTTATTTATGGCAAGGCTATCTGCCACTGTTCTTTATTTATGGCAAGGCTATCTGCCACTGTTCTTTATTTATGGCGAGGCTATCTGCCAATGTTCTTTATTTATGGCAAGGCTATCTGCCACTGTTCTTTATTTATGGCGAGGCTATCTGCCAATGTTCTTTATTTTGAAGTTCTGACTAGAAGCAAGGTAGCCTGTCAGCAACACTTTACTATCCACACTAAGGGATTGACTGTCGCTCTTATAACACGATCACAGTTTAAAGTGCGAAGAATATTTTGTTGTGTCCCACGGATTGGATTCATTGGAATGTTGGATTCGCCAGATCCGGAATTGAAAGCTCTACCACTGGGCCAACCCTCGCTCTGAAACCATACAGTAAGTAATTGTATAATGATAAGAAGAACAGAAAATAAGTGTAAGTAAGTTGTCCTTCTTTATATTTTAGTGGAAATAATAAGGAATGGAAATAAAGTAATTTTCTTTTAACGAAGTGTCAAAATGTGCGTAAAATCTACAAACACACCCCAAATACACAGAATGTCTACTTCTGCTCAAACTGGTTTTCATCTTCATGTATGTAGTCTTTGAAGTTTTCTATTTAATATCATACATATTAATATCATTCTATTTAATATAATATTTAATATCGAGTGCTTTCGGTATTAGGTAACAAGTTGCTTTGGTAAATTTTAGCATTTATATAATTTCTAAACTAAAAAAGAAAACGGATGTCAGTGTGGGAGAAACAAATTTCGTTTCGTAGTTAAATTTGGCGAGTCATATAATTTCTCCGGTAAATACTAATTAACTCTTGCAACAATTTCAACGGTTCATTACTTACTATAATATACTATACAAAACAATAAATATATCTATGTTTACATTTTACTGTCTTAGGTATAGATTGTGTGATACAGTTGTGTTGTAAAACAATGATCTGACTACAGAATCATCAACAACAACAAAAGGCAGTCTTGTAAGGAACATAAAACAGGTAATGTTTCAAGGAAAACCAGAATACCGGTCCCTGCTCCCTAAGATGGGGATTGGAAATTTATTCCCCTCACATACTTCGCCACTACAAACCACCTAGTACTAGTCCCATTTAAGGTAAAAGGTCTTTTCGGTCTTTGCCAACTGGAGCGTCTATCTAAAGGCGTGGGTATACAGTTTACACCTACCACTAAAGAAATGTTTTCCCCTTAACTTTCTCTATAGTGTGTGTAATCTGGGTGATAGGCCCACGTGTTTTCTCCGAACCTCTCGAACTTAGAAGACGGAGACCAGTGATTGTGGTTGGACGCGAGCATTTAGTTCTATATCACGCAATTGTGCAAAATATTATTATCATTTTCTTAAACTCGAGCTTACCACAAACACGTTGATTTTCTGTCATGCCGAACTTTAAATTCAGAAATTATTAATATTTATTGGGCTTTTCCTCACTGTTGTTAATACTGGAAAATAACTATATTCTGACAACAACGATCCCAGTACGAAAAGATCTTCGAAGAACTATTTCATTTAACCATAACGTCTTTGGGAAAGTAACACAGATATATTAGTAAAATAAGCTTTCGTACTATCTCTTTGCGCAAAAAAAAATGACTAGAAAGCTAAGAGAATTTCTCATTCTTTTGGACAACGAAAGTTTACTCTACCTTCCAGGATCATTTCTTTCAGGTAAAGTTGTGATAGAACTAGAAGTGGACACACCTGTGGTAGGTAAGCATGCGAAACTTTAATAAGAATTCATAGTCTCTCGTTCTTGTTTGATATTAAGATTTTCCCAATAATATATATGTAAAATATGTTAAAATTTTGTTCATGTTAGGCATATAAATACGTTATTATCATGGTCCATCTTAAGTTATCATGTGTTCCTTTGGTGTTTTTTAGTGGTAAATGTGTCCCCTGGGTGGTTTTATTTATGTTATCATAGTAGTAGATGTGTCCCCTGTGTGGTTTTAATTATGTTAAATAGTAATAAATGTGTCACCAGTATAGGTTTATTTATGTTGTCACAGTGGCAAGTTTGTCTTCCGTGTGGTTTTGTTTATGTTATCATAGAGGTAAATGCCATACTAATAAGTTTCAACATATTAGCACACGCCAAGATATACTTAGTGTCCAGTTTACAAACATATGTTAATAATGGTTAATAATACTTTAATGAGAGTCATCACGATGATCTACGTTATGATAACAAACGTATTATCTCTATTGTTTATAATAAATTTGATAAATTAATTGCCATGATATTCATGTTAATTTCCTCATTTAGATTTATACTGAGTTGATACATTTGTTATCCTCGTGGTTTATAATGGCCCTATAGAAGTGTTATAAGCATAGCTCATGTTTCTAATGGGAAGATTCAATCTGCTCATTACTGTTTTTTACCATCTGAAATTTTGTAAAACGGGTTGTTTTGTTACTAATTAATTAGTGCATTTAACTCTAAAAGTGTTCGAGATAGCGAAAAAAGTTGTAGGGTTGGACACCAATAGGCCTAATATTTGTAATAAAAATTATTTGTTACTTTGTAGCGTTGTAGGTTTTGTAGATCTCTTCTGTCTTGAAATATGTATTAGTTTCTTTTCACAAACTACTCGTCTTGACAGATGAAATTTTATAATTATCTTTAAATAATTTAAAGCGATCATTCGATAAAGTATAAAGCAAATTAAAGTTAGATGTGATTCGGGTGAATCCTCTAAGTACTAACTTATTACCAACAGTACACCAACTGAAGGCGTTCAAAAATACTCGCGCGTCTTCTGAAATAAGATGACTAGATTTATACTAAGAACAGATTTCTTTGAGAGGCGAAAATCAACAGTTAGAGCTATAGAAACTTCGTTAACAAAATTCATAATTTTCAATTTAGCTCCGAAATCTCTGCGTATTCATAATTCGATGTGTTAAGTTGAAGATATTTTGCCCCCAGTAGCACAGCGGTATGTCTGTGGACTTACAACGCTAGAATCCGGGTTACGATACCCGTGGTGGGTAGAGCACAGATAACCCATTGTGTAGCTTTGTGCTTAATTACAAAACAAACAAACAAACAAACAAGCAAGAAGATATTTTATAAATATTTTCACACATTATGAATTGCGAGAAACTGAGATTTCATGTTAAGTTATTACGGTTAGTTTTATTAACAATAGGTGCCATTACTGAGGTCTTCTCAAAGGTCTGTTTCATATAAAGATTTTCACCAAAAAATATACTACACATAATATTTATCAATGACCACTAGATTATACATATAAAGAAGAAAGTAAAACTGTAGAATCAGGGTTATTATGCAAATTTTCTTCACAATTCACAACGATTTTAGATCAAATGTAACTTTAATCACATTTAATATAACAGATTTTAAGAAACGGTTTTTATAGCCGTTACATTAGTACGTTTATTTGTTTCTTTTAGAGCAAAGCCACATTGAGCTATCTGCTATGTTTACTGCAAGGAATCGAATCCCGGATTTTAGCGTTATAAGTCAAATAGACTTAATGCTGTCCCACCGGGTTATTGTCATTCATGCCAGTTACCAAAACTAGATAAATATGTATAAAAATAGAAAAAACTGAGATATCAATACTCGAAGTACAGGTTCTGATAAATACAAATGAACGTCAAAAAATACAATAGAAAAATCATGTCGAAAAAGAGCAGAGTTTGAATGGGAGAAATTAGTGTTGTAGGCTATGTTTTTAATTTTGGAATTTTGGCATGACGTAATGATGAAATTTCGTGTTGTCTCAAATTCTTCTGAGAGTTTGAGAAAAACAGAAACAAATATTGTACAAAAATATCATTTATCCACGCCCCTCTGTGTCACAGCGGTAAATCTGCAGAATTATAACGCTAGTAACCGGTTTTCGATACTCGCGGTGGGCACAGCACAGATAGCCCGTTTTGTAGCCTTGTGCTTAACTACAAACAAACATCTAGTCAGTCAGTGAGTTAATTAGTTTGAGAGTTATTTCAATGCGGTAAATTTTGAATATATGTTTCAACGAAGTATAGAATTTGAAAGTAAGTGAATGTTTAGTTGTATTTGTGAGATAGGCCCATCAAGAAATAAATCACTTTCGATATCGTTAATTGGATCTGACCTTGCTTTATGTTTACCGAGTAATCAAAGACATAATTACAACACTGGGGTCAGAAGTGGGAAGATTTTGGTGAAAATAAAACAGAATCTAGACGAAACGTTTAAATGACAATATGTAGTCGAAGTGAGGTGGAATATTTGCTGGAGATGATGAAACAATGTAGAGAAGAACTATGAAAAAGAAACAGAGAACTAAACAAAGATAAATAAGAAAAGGACAGAAAAATAGAAAACAAAAATATAATATTAAAGAAAGAACAAGAAGAAAGAAACAGAAAGTAAAAAGAAGAATAAGAAGAAAGAGACAGAAAATTAAAAAAAGACAAGAAGAAAAAGATGGGATTTTAAAAGAGGAGTTAAAAAAGACAAGTAAGATTTAAAGAAGAATTAACAACTAAAAATTTGATTGGAGACAAGATCGAAGAAGATTTGTAGAAGAATTTTAGCAGCAAAATTGAAATACTACGAAACGCATCTATGAACTTTGGAAAGACTGTAATGACAATATTGAAGAAGTATAAAAGACCGCAACAAAGTACAAAAAGACGTCTATAAAGTGTAGAAAGATTATAATGTCAAAATTGGAGTACAAAGAAAAACTACAGAAGTACAAGAGAACATCAATGATGACAGAATAAAGTATCTGAGAAATGAATTTGTAAATGAAAAGGCCAAGCCAGTTACACCTCTCAACATATTTGTCCAATATTTCTAGCCACAAACACCATTAACTATGAAATATGGAACAGGAGAACCTAAGTTAGGCCTATCAACGAACGTAACCTATACTGTAGTCAGTGTAGAGCTTGTATGTTATGGTTGAAAAAACAAATCACCCTCATTATCGTTAAGTTGACTGTACTCTTCCCTATTTACTTACTCAATATTCAAAAAGAACCCACATGACGATAAAAAGTTTTACAATATTACCACAGATGGGAGAAGTCGAAATATAACAAGAGGTAATTCTTCATTGTTGGGTTAAACACTGTGTTTCCATAAGTTGGCTTTGTAATATCTATATAATTACTTAAGATATTATTGGAAACGTTTGTGAAGTCCTTTAAGAATTTGTGGTTTTAATAAGAATAAATGTTTCGAAACTTTATACCTGAAGCAACACTGGGCTTACTTTATTTGTTATATCACTGTAGTTTGCCAAACTTCTTGCGCGATTTCTAAAAACTAAAACTAAAAAGAAACAAAGTTTGAATCTCACTATAGAGTTTACCTCGTCGTGTACAAACTCGTCACTGACGCTCTCTTAACTCATTAACTTAGTAAGTATAAACTAAATACTTAATGCAATAGCTTGTTAGGTTGTCTCTAAAAATGTGATGTCGTTTAGCTAATGAAGCAATAAGTTGTAAGCAATCTATATGTTGCCTAGATAGGTAAAATAATCTTACCTTACCTTGTAAGAAAATTTGTTACAGAGCATAATACATGCTTATAAGAAGGCGTTGGTTATTTGAACACACCTTTTGTGTAATGCAAAAGTTTAGACAGATGAGTGGGAAGAAATAATTTAAGGCGTACGCTAAACTACCGTTATATTTTCCGCCTATATTATTTAGGTCATGGTGGTGGCTATTCTCGACGTATACTGTCTTTGGAAGTGAATTATATTGATCATTATTGTATGGCAAAGAATAGCATAATATTTTATAAAGTAACTAGAACGTGTTTAATCATAAAGATGTTTTTCATTTCTGTTAGTAAGAACTAATTCCCCAAGAAGTTACTAATGGAGCGTAAAAATATTTGTTAAAATACACTTACTTGACTTACAATTTAAACATATGCCGAATATTGTCTTTTTATTACGTCATCTTCACTCTAATTTTACCATCACATGCCATAAGATGTTATGTTCTTACTTATTGGATAAGATTGAAAATATAGCGACCATAGTACGTGGTGAAACGTAGTGATATTTTGTGTAATTCTTTTTTAAACTTTATTTTTGCCGTTTTATCTCTTTTTTTTTTATAACATAATACACGGAATATACAAATACACCTTTCAACTTGACTAATGTAAGAAAACAATAAAAAAGTACTGTTATATGTTATTTAAATTTTTTTCGTTATATTGTATTTCGTCCAAAACTTCACGTGGGTTATCTTCGGTAGCCGTTCCTGATTTTGATGTGATAGATAAGAGGGGAGATAGCTAAATAATTCAAAAAGACACTTGTGTAAAACATCTATTTACAATTAAAAGGAATACAATGTTAAAATAATTACATAATAAATATATATTAAAAACAGGGACTTTACATATGTTTCCGTGTTCTATGACACCATCTTCCAAAGTAACAGTAAAGGCATGATTAGGACTTATATACCCACGTAATTATTTACTTTCGTATAACGCCATCTAGGCTTAAACTACTCAGAGTTACAAAACATCTGTCTAATACTTCATTATTTCTAAACCTGGACCAGCTTCCTTGTTTAACACGATATCTTTGTTTTTTGTTTTTTTTTTTCAATTTGAAAAGTTTCTCTGATATTTAATCTAATTTTGATTTCTACCTGTTTTATCAACTTAATGTTATTTCAGTCTATAGCATAAGATGTTTCCGCCACATGTT